AAATAATACTAAAATATCAAATAAATAAGTAATGGTATCTTTTGGTTGTAAATATTGATATCACCATTACTATTAGCTAGTGTACTTTACCAATTACGATTAATTACATAACAAGTTTGCAAGTCATACAAATTGATTTAACATTTTGACTCGTTCTTTTCAAAAAATTAAGTATATATATATACGAGGTAGAAATAAATTGGTTAAAATAAATATATTGTTTTCAAATAAAGTTTTTCATTCTCAACCTAAGTAAAATCATTCACATTTAGTTAAGAAAGTTCAAAATCTGAAATTCACTTAAAATTATGGTTTTTAATTACGAAATTTATGACATGAATTTCTTTAACCAAATTACAAAAAAAGTAAATATAAAATCAGCACAATCCTAATATTTATAATAAATAATAACTAAGACCTTTTTGTCTATAATAATAAACTTTATTATTGGAGAAGATGATAGGGTAAGAACTAAGAAGTAATTTTGGGCGGGTGTGATGAAATTTTGGTTTTGGGCGGGTGTGATGAAATTTTGGGCGCCCAATTTTTTGCAAGCAGAGGGAAGGGTTTTGTGTTTTTGGTGTAATTGTAGTGGACGGGTGATGATGAAATTTTGGGCGGCCCAATTTTAGTTGTGGTGGGAAGGCGAGATTTTAAATTTCGATTGTGGTGATTTTGACTAGTTTTTCTTAATTAAGTATATATACAAGGTAGAAAGAAATTGATTAAAAACTGTGATAAATATTTTAAATTAGTGTAATAAAATGTGTAAGTTGGTAACGAGTAAGTAACTCGATGCGTTGACCTGAACAATTCGCAACCCAATCCGCCCGCAACCCGCCCGGTCCAAAACCCGATGAACCCGAACCCGATTTGCCCGTAACCCGATTGAACCCGAACCCTATCAACCCGCAACCCGACTAACCCGCAACCCGATTAAACCTGAACCCAATTGAACCCGAACCGACGAACCCGCAACCCGACTAACCCGCAACCCGATTGAACCCAGCCCGAACCCGCCCGATTGACACCTATATTCACAACACCATTTCCGCGAGCCCATCTTTAGCTTCTGGGCCTTGGCTAATGGACTTCGCGGCTTCTCATCATGTCACTCATGATATGGACCAACTCTCACTTTATTCTGATTATTCAGGCCCTAGATGAGATCCTTGTTGGTGATGGATCATGTTTGGCAATATTGCATATTGGATCCTCCACTCTTTCTGCTGGTTCTAATTCCTTACACTTGAACGAAATACTGTGTCTTCCAAGTATTAAACGTCATCTCATATCGGTTGCTAAATTATGTCAAACTAATCTGGTTTCTGTGGAATTCTTTGCCACTCATTTTCTGGTGAAGGATCTTCGCACGGGGGGTGCATCTGCTGAGGGGGGAAAACAACGGTGATGTGTATGAGCATCCTTGTGAGCTCGAAAATGTGAGCATGGCCCTGGTGACAACTCATACTTCTGCATCATCCTGGCACACTCGCCTCGGTCATCCATCACACCAATCACTTACCAGTCTCATTCGGTCAAATTCTATTCTAGTCTCTACCTCCATAGCTAGTTCTCACCATTGTGATGCTTGTCTTTTGAATAAAAGCCATAAACTCCCATTCTCTGTGTCCTCTTTATCTAGTGAACGACCATTTCACCTATTATATACTGATGTTTGGGGCTCTGCCCCTGTTTCTTCCATTGATAATTATCGTTATTACCTGGTTATTATTGATCATTTTACTCGATATACCTGGTATTATCCTCTTCGCCTGAAATCTGATGTTCTTCATGTTTTTCTTGATTTTAGGAAAATGGTAGAAAATTATTTTTCCACCACTATCCGTCGCTTATACACGGGTGGTGGCGACGAATTCCAAAAACTGCGTTCTGACCTTCTTAATCATGGCATCACCCACCTTCTCAGTCAACCACATACACCCGAACATAATGGTCTGGCAGAACGCAAACACCGCCATTTTGTTGAAACAGGTCTTGCACTCTTACATCATGCTAAACTTCCCACGTCTTTTTGGTCGTTTGCTTTCTCCACCGCTATCTATTTGATTAATCGTCTTCCATCCTCAGCTCTTCGTGGTAATGTTCCCTATACACTCTTGTTTAATATGTCACCCAACTACCATAACCTTCGCATTTTTGGCTGCATATGCTATCCTTGGCTCCGTCCCTACTCTGCCCACAAACATGACCCTCGCTCCCGCCCATGTATTTTTCACGGGTACTATCTGTAACGTAGTGCCTATCATTGCTTTGACCCTTCCACTCAACGCCTCTTCCTCTCCCGCCATGTTGTTTTTGTTGAGACCACTTTTCCAGGTCAAACACATTCACCTGCTCCGGAGTCTGTCTCGGTTTCCACCTGGATGCTTGACAATTCTCCCATCATCAGTCGTCTTCTAACTCCCACCTCGCCATCATCTTCCGGCATCCCTCCAGCGCCTCCCCCCTCCGTGCGAAGCCCACAAGGCGCCCTTCCAGGGCCCTCTCCGCTTACTCAGCCCACAGTGGCCACCCCTGTGTGCAGCCCGTCTCGCGTTGTGCCAACCCAACCCGAGCCCACTTCCGGTGTTGTCTGCCCCATCACCCCACCTTCCGGGCCCCCATCAGTTGCGACTCTGCCCCCTCTGGTCCACTCTCACACTATGCGGACTCGGGCCCAGGACGGGATCTTCAGGCCCAAGAAGCGCCTCTTCCATGCTGCCCGTGCACCAGGCCCACTTCCACTTGCTCCCCGCACGGTCCATGAAGCGCTCTAGTATGTAGAATGGGACACCGCCCTTCGGGCCGAACACACTGCTCTCCTTGCCAAACACACTTGGGATTTGGTACGTGGTCTTCCCCACTATAATGTTCTTGGCAATCTATGGCTTTTTCGGGTTAAATATCTTTTTGATGGTTCTATTGAGCGGTTCAAAAATCGCCTCGTGGCCAAAGGGTTACATCAGCGGCCTGGGGTGGACTTCACCGACACATTTAGTCCGGTTGTCAAACCGGTCACTGTTCGCACGGTATTCACCATTTCTCTTTCTCATGGTTGACCTATTGCTCAGTTTGATGTCAATAATGCCTTTTTACAGCGCCTGCTACAAGAGGAAGTCTATATGGTACAACCTCCCAGCTTCGTCAATCCCTCCCGACCACACCATGTACGTCGTCTCCGTCAAGCCATATATGGTCTTCGTCAGGCCCCTCGTGCTTGGTACAATGCCTTAAGTGCATTTCTCCTCGAGTTTGGCTTCACCAAAACACATTCTGATACCTCCCTATTTTTTGGTCTATGTCGACGATCTCCTCCTCACTGGCAACGACCTGGCTACACTGCACGCTTTTCAGCATGCACTCTCTACTCGATTTTCTCTCAAGGACCTTGGTGCGGTGAATTATTTCTTGGGGATCGAAGTCATTCCTACTGCTACAGGTTACATTCTCTCTCAATATAGGTATATGGTGGACATTCTCGACCGCTTTCTCATGACTGTTGCCAAGGCTGTTGACACTCCTATGACCGCATCCACCACTCTTACTCTCTCTAATGGCAGCCCCACTGCCTATGCCACTCGCTTTCGCCAGGTCTTGGGTGCTCTTCAATATCTTTTATATACACAACCAGACAAGTCCTACACCGTCAATAAACTGTCTCAATATATATATGAATGCCCCCACCACCACTCATTGGCAGTGCGTCAAGCGGCTCCTCCGATAAATCTCTGGTACTCTCACCTTCGGCCTCTCCATTCGTCGCCATATAGGCCCTTTGACGCTATCTGCCTTTGATGACTCTGACTGGGCTGGCAATCATGATGACCGCTCATCTAGTTCTGGCTATCTTCTCTACCTCGACTCTATACTTATCTCCTGGCGCTCTCAAAAGCAGCGCACGGTTGCTCGGTCGAGTACCGAGGCCGAATATAGAGCCATTGCCCATGCCACCGCTGAATTGGAATGGCTACAGAATCTTCTATAAGAGCTCCACCAACAGGTCCGCTCCGCTCCCCACCGCATCTCTACTCGGACAATCTAGGTCCCACATACTTCAGCACCAACCTGGTCTTCCACTCACGCATGAAGCACCTCGCATTGGACTATCATTTTGTCAGGCAACTCGTTCAGGATGGCCGGCTACGGGTCTCTTATATCCCCATTTCGCATCAACTCGCAGATGCCCTCACAAAGCCATTGCCGTCTGCTCGTTATCTGCTCCTGTGCTCCAAGATCAGCGTCGTTGATACCTCCTCCGTCTTGCGGGAGCTGTAATAGAGGAACTAATTAAAAGACTTTTAGTTTATTTTATTAATTCCTTGATTCAGCTCCTATTGTCATGGAACGTGTGAGAGTGGGCATCATTCTGTTGCTAGAAACACTCCACTCCTCTGTATAACTCTGTATATTAACATTGATACACAATCAATGAGAATCAAGTCAATTCTCCACAATCCTCACCATATCCCTAGTAGCCGGATGGACAATCCATTTGTTGCAATGGGCTCACCCATTTTAGGGCCTAAGAAAATAATGAGACACAAGAAAATAGTTCAGAATACACAACCCAACTATATATGAGCTGATCCCATTGAAACAATCGGACCTGGCAGTCCGAGAAACTTGAGGTCGCAGGCTACAAACAACAGTTGCTGCCATCGAGCCCGGGTCACCCTCACTCGGGCTCAGCCTTTTTGCTCTTTTTTCCTGCTGTCATTGAAAATGGGCTTGGGTTTAGGGCTCAGATCTCCACATTGCCATGCCATGCATGTAACTAGGGCATCCTAACACTCGCTTTTCCTTCCCTCTCGGCTCATTTCATACTCTCCAGAGCCTGTCATGTGTATGTACCTAGCTTCTCAAACTCAGAATAACAATGTTCAAAAAAACTGAACCATCCGCAATCGCGATACATCCCTGTTCGATAACAACTTCTGAAATCGGTGGCGGAGCTACTTGTACTAGATAAACCCTTCAATGTTCGGTTTTCAGATTATGACATGTATAGGCATATATTAAACAGTTAATAATATTGGAAAGTAACACGGTCCTATCATAATCAGCATCTTCTAATCTTATAGGTACTGAGAACAATAACACATGCCAAAACATGCACCAACACAACCATTAATCAACCGCTGAGAGCAATACAAGACAACATTTGACCCAGAAAAACAACACGAACAGTTCTGCGCTAAAAGGGAAAACACAACAACTAACTAGCTACTTAATTCAAGTAACCTTAAAATTTTTTGTTAGGAAACCTTTATTCAACACGGTACCAAACAGTAGTAGTTCTCTTTGTTTTTTTTTTTTTTTTATTTCAGAGCGGAGGGCAAACGAAGCCTGGTGGGGGAGTAATCCCGCAAGTGGCGAGAACCTGAAGCGCCAGAGGAATGAAGATGTTCAAGTTGAGAAGCTTGAGCCTGATGGTGGTGCACAAACAAACCGCTGCTTCCAGCTCCAGCAGCCCTTTCAGGATCGGGCAGCAAGTGTTCACCACCGGATCCCCTAACCCTATATGCACCAGTCCTCCCAGCACGTCCACGCACGCGCCTAGCTTCAGCGCGTCGATCGGGCACCTCGGCTGCGTGGCTGGCGGACTAGGCACACCACCACCACCACCTCCACCGCCGCCTCCACCTCCACCTCCTCCGGGGTAGCAACTCGAGCAAGGTGGCGAAGGAGTGACCGATGGAGGTGGTAGGACCACCGGAGGGTTTGTGATGGGTGGAGGTCGGATCACCGGAGGGTTGACTATCGGGGGCAGGACGATCGGTGGCATCTGTGGTCCCCTCGGTGGTGGGTTATGGCCTTTCCCGCCGCCACCTTTGCCTCCTCCACCGCTACCACCACCTCCACCCTGATGGCCGCCGCCTCCGCCACCACCTCCTCCTCCACCTCCACCATGGTGTGGTGGGCCTCCTCCACCACCACCGCCTCCACCGTGGTGTGGAGGACCGTAAGAAGGTGGATTCGGGTGAGTGCAAGGGGCGCAAGCGTAGATCGGAGGCAAGGAGATCACCATGAAAAGCATGGAGATGAAGAACATGGCTACAAAAGCCTTCGAGGTAGCCACCATTGTGATCATGATCTCAGTTTAGGGTTCTTGGAAAAGGGTGGCCCTAGATTATATGTTTAGGGTTTTGGAGGGCTGGGTGTCCTATACAAGGGACAGATGTCATCAGTATATATAACAATGGAAGGGTAAACCCGTGACTTCCTCGCAATATTTTTTCCTATCTATGACACGCGAAGGTGCTCCAATGTACAGGTGTATCGATATGCTATAGTTTAATTCACCAAGTGGGTGAAGATATACAGAAAAGGATGAAGTGAAAAAAGAAAAAAGATTGGTTCTGTCGTCTGTGGGGGAAACGAAAGGAAATGGAGAGGTTTGGATTGTAGTTGGGCAATCGATGGATCCCAAACTTCAATGCACCATCCGTGACCCAAGGGGCTCAGTTTTTTACACTCCATGAAATTTTGTTGCGATGCTTGTTGTTGTAAATCAATTAGACAACCCAATTCAGTCGTCTATTCCCAAGCTTATCTCTTTGTTTGCTTTCTGATTTTCTCTTCACCATTATATTGTAAAAAACATTTCACCATACGTTCTTCTTTTATGCTGGGTTTCAATCAGGGAGCTAAGTTAGGCAAAACTTCCATCTCCCCACATGTCACTGTGCTACAGTACTAGTGTCTGCTAGCTTGGAGTCAGCAGTGGGATGGGGAGGATTGCTGTTTTCGCTCCATCATAGCATGTGCATCATTGTCTACGTTATGGAGGCGGGTCAGAATATCGTATTCGTACACTGTAGAGAGAGAGAGCGAGAGAGACAGAGAGGGTTTATGAATTGTGATTCAGTATTTGGAAAGAAAGTAGTAGAGAGAGATGACATTATTGACGAGGGAGTTTCGTTCTTCGATGTCAACATGTGAACTCCTATACCGCTGTACATTTTTGTGGTAAGTAGTACATTTGGCTCATATTGCCAGCTAGGATTGTCATTTCGGTTTCTGGTTAGCGGCTAATCGGCCGGTCTAACCGTTAACAGCCAGTTAGCGGCTAACCGAAAACCGAAGGAAATCAGTCACGGTCGGTTGGCGGAAGCTGGGTGTGGGCAGGCGGTTAGATGAGTAACCGAAGTCGGTTAACCGGCTCTAACCGACCGAATGATACGACGTCGTTTTGGACTCTGCGAAAACGACCCCATCCCCAACCCTAGACACTATCGTCGACAGCCGCCAGCCCCCAGCCCCTCTCCTTTTGGCGAAATCTTCCTTCTCGTTTTACTTCCTCTTTATCCTCTCGGCGAAATTGTGACCCTCATGCCTCAGACCCTATCGTCGGGCGTCGCACAGCCGCCAGCCCGCCATCGCCGCGCCAGTCAAGAGTCTGCCATCGCCGGCCGCGCCTCCAGTCGCCGCGCCAGTCTGCCGCCACCCTCCAATCGCTGCCAGTCACCAATCGCCTCGCCAGTCTGCCGCCACCCTCCAATCGCTGCCAGTCACCAATCGCCTCGCCAGTCTGCCGCCGCCAGTCACCAATCGCCAGTCCGCCATCCCCGCGCGGCCGCGCCACCATTCCTCCATCTCTCTCCGATAACAAGTCAAGAAAGAGAGACAAACTGAACCGACCTTCTCTGTTTCGGTGTCCCGGTTTAACCGCAGCCTAACCGAAAACCGCCCGATCGGTTTGCGGATAACCGAGAGTATATGGTCGGTCGGTGGCCGGCTGCCATTGGTCAGGTCTCGGTTTAACCGAAAACCGAAAATTCGGTTTTCGGTTTAACCGAAAACGACCGTGTGACAGCCCTATTGCCAGCCATCTAAATTCGGTTTTCGGTTTAACCGAAACCGACCGGGTGACAGCCCTATTGCCATCCATCTTCATTTAAAAAAAAAAAAGACAACCTATACGAATACATTGCTAACGGGTGTCAGGATTTACTATAGGTGTAGCAGCTTCGTAAGTCTTATTCAATTGATTAAGTACTACTTGTTGATTGGATAGTAATTTGTCTTCAATAGGAGTGAGTTACTACTAACTAAAACATAAACAAGGTAGCTATATTAGGATGAACATGATTCATTGAGGTTTGGATTATAGGAAAGCATTATCCTAAACAGATCTGACCATTCTCCTCTTCATGCAAGTCCAAACTTTATGATCGTCAACGTCTCTAGTCTATTTATTCTTGGATTCTAATGCCTGTACTCATGTTATTCAATTCACTATAGTTTTAGTAACTCAATTTTTTTATCGGCCATCATTCAAGGTGTCACATACTCACATTGTCGTCTTCATGCATGAATGAGAAATTTTCGTCCTCCTCCACCAGGTTTTACGGAGGCATTTTAGTGTGCTTTATAGTATTGGTACTATAAAACATTTACAGCCATTAGATCATGTTCAAACTATATCAACCATTAGATTTTATTTAAATTATTAATTTATTATTTTATTTGTGTGTGATAACCGGTACAACCGGTTGTCTGAAACCAATTAAGACAAACACTATCTTCCTTCGAAACCATTCTTCTCACCGCCGAAACCCTTCTTCCTTCGATCCTCTTCCTTCCTTCGATCCTCTCCACGCAGCTAGCGAGCAGTGAAGACGGTGACAGTGAAGACGGCTAGCAGTGGGTGACGACGAGTAGAAGAAGCTGTCGATTGCAGCGATTCGGATTCCGGATTCCGACGACGATAGTGAAGGCGGCGAGCCGGATTCCGACTACGACAGTGAATGCGGCGAGCCGGATTCTGACGACGACAATGAAGGCGGCGAGCAAGGGACGACGAGAGCGAGCATCTCTTCGTCGATTGCAAACGAAGACCCTTTTCCCATCGATAGCAAACGAAGACCCTGCACAGAACCCCCTCTTCCCATCGATAGCAAACGAAGACCGCTGACCTACCTCCTCCACCGCAACTTTTTTCGGTTAGTACTATCTTCTTTGTGTTTAGCTTGATAATTACCTGCAATGGCGATTCCTGTTGTTCCTTCACTTGTTTTGAAGGAAAATTTGCAGCATTTACCTTCTCTTCGCCTTGTTTTTGCTGTTGAGGTTGTGCTTGATTTGTCTCCGTTTCAGCAACATCCTTAGCAGGCTGTTGTTGTTGTTGTTGTTGTTGTTGTTCCTCAATCTTCTTCTGTTGAGGAGGAGCATTGGGTTCTTCTGTTGTTAGGGTAGAAGAATTCGAGTCTGAAGAATTCACAGCAGTTGTGGTTGTTGTTGTTGTGGTTGCGGTTGTTGATGATGCTTCCTTTGGTGAGGAAGTTTTGGATGGATGTTGTTGTTGTAGTTCTTCCATCTTCTTCGTGGGAGGATTCGAATCGGACAAATTCACAGCATTCATTGTTTTTGGGGTTAATGATTCTCCTTTTTGTGGGGAAGCTTTGGTGGTAATGGTGGTGGAGGAAGTCTGTTGTTCTTCATTCTTCTAGGGGACATTTGTATCGACCGAATTTGTTGCATTCGTTGTTGGGATGTTCTAGATTTACACATTTCGGTAGGGGGATTGAAATTCCATGCTCGTTTTAGGTTTATGAGTTTAATTGGTCATGTCCTTTGACCAGGTTGATGTCCTTGTACTATCTTCTTTGTGTTTAGCTTGATAATTAGCTATATATTGACTGATTTAGTGTCAAATCTGACCTAGCTAGCGATTGTGTTCCGTCCTTTATGCATGCCAGTTTTAACTTTTTGATTGGAGAGACTTGATTTGTGTTTTATGGAGGCAAATCGAATAGGAAAGTTCATACTCAAAGTTTGATTCTTTTCAGTTTGGCTTGAGACAAGTTGGATTGTTGTTTGCCTTCAAACTGAGTCTGCAGAGAAAATTTTGGAAGAGTTGATTTGGTCTTGTTGGTATTGTAGTGTCATTACCGTTGCTTATTGATTACATTTTGGACTGTTAATTGAAGGGTCTTGCTTGGCTGCATGAAAGGTGCAATTGAGTGTGTTAGTCAAGAATTAGTTCATGAAATCAGGGTGACTTGAGGAGGAAACGCAAGAGAAATGAAGCATTCTCAATTCTGTGAGGTCTCTAGTCATTAAGCTATTGCTCAAAGTTTGTCCTTCTGTTGCTTCTCATATTGTTAAATTTTTTGGAGGGGGTTGCTAATTTGAATATATTGCAATGGTTAGTTGTGTGGGATATATTTTGTCAACTGATCTGCTTGCTTGCTGATCTCCAAATCATTATGAAGTACATCGATAAAGATTGACCGATTAGCATAGATGTAGGAGACCTGAAATAGTCAAGAGATGATGCCCTTTCTTCTCTCTGTACAATGATCTTGTGTCTGAATATTCTGGATCTTGCTGTCCTCTCTTCTATAAAACAAAAGTATGTACTTGATCACCTTTTGTTTAAGCATGCAAGAAGCTGTTTGGTTTCCTATTTACTGCATTCGAATTAGACAAGGCTACTGCAACAGCTACGTTTGCCATATCACTCGAAACATCCATTTGAGCGAAAATGGGACTAGGATTGGTAGCTACTGGTGTGGTATTTCAGATGCTGAAAAATGCAGATGCATCATTTTATAGGTGGATCGAGCTTTGGGAGGTTAGAATAGTAGCTTTGATGTACTGATAAGTGACTCCTCTAGTAGCTTTGAAGTACTGAAAAATCAGGGTGTTTTTAGTTTCACGACTTATTTTAACGGCCGTGATTTTTGAAGCCAAAGCCGTGAGATTGTCTGGGATATGAAAACTACTCTTTGCTTCTCACGGGTCATGTCACGGCCGTGAGAATTTGCATTTCGGGTGAAATTTAATGGAAGCTGGGTGTTTTGGGTGAAATTTATATATGCCAATGGCGGATTTCATGGTTAATTAGTGTACTCAGGTGTTGATGTAGGGGGTTTTCAGTTCTTTTGGTAGTTAGAACTTGATATCGAGGCAAGTGTGCTTGTGAGCTCTGGTATAGTCTTGCATTTGTTCAATATTGATAAAAGCCATATATTGAAAACCAGGATTGAACTCATTACCTGGAGAATGTGTTTACCGAATGATTAAATGATCCTTTTCTCGAATGAAACTTTGTCATAACCACGTTTTCTCGAATGTGTTTAAGTGTGAAAACTGAAAGTTGCTTCTTTAGATCAGTGGTGGACGACTCTGGCTTTGTGTATTTTGTTAGTACT